AACAAAATTAGTTCACATGTTTAAAATCTCTATAAGATATCTGAATTTGATGTGCATATATCTAATAATAATTCTTGACTGAATTACCGTTTCGGCACTTTTTGTCCCGTATCTTCGAAACTGCTGGGCCTGTCTTCACCAAAAACTAATCAGCACGTCTTCTTATCAATAGAAATCGAATGTTTTCTGAATCATTCAAATCGATTGATTCGTTCGCCCGAAAACGTGGCATCCATTTTACATAAAGTACTGTATTTCCACTTTATATATTAATACTATAAATGATAAATATTGATGTTACAGGTAATTTTTTGTCCTTCATATGTTGGTGATAATTGTAATTTAAAAACAACCAGCACCAGTGAAAAATTCTAATCCTATATTTGGGTAAGTTTCTCAAAAACTGAATTACCGTTTTGGCACTTTTTGTCCCGTATCTTCGAAACGGCTGGGCCTGTCTTTACCAAAAACTAATCAGCACGTCTTCTTATCAATAGAAATCGAATGTTTTCTGAATCATTCAAATCGATTGATTCGTTCGCCCGAAAACGTGGCATCCATTTTATATAATGTACTGTATTTCCACTTTATATATTAATACTATAAATGATAAATATTGATGTTACAGGTAATTTTTTGTCCTTCATATGTTGGTGATAATTGTAATTTAAAAACAACCAGCACCAGCATGGGAAAAATTCTAATCCTATATTTGGGTAAGTTTCTCAAAAACTGAATTACCGTTTTGGCACTTTTTGCCCCGTATCTTCGAAACGGCTGGGCCTGTCTTCACCAAAAGCTAATCAGCACGTCTTCTTATCAATAGAAATCGAATGTTTTCTGAATCATTCAAATCGATTGATTCGTTCGCCCGAAAACGTGGCATCCATTTTACATAATGTACTGTATTTTCACATAATGTATTAATACTATAAATGATAAATATTGATGTTACAGGTAAATTTTTATCCTTCATATGTTAATTGTTATTTAATAACAACCAGCACCAGCTTGGGAAAAATTCTAATCCTATATTTGGGTAAGTTTACTTTTAGAAATGGTTAAAAACATTAATTCGTGCACCCGAAATCGTGGACAAAAAATTGTATCTAACATACACACACACACACATACATCAATTTTTTCTAAGGCATGCCAAAATATTCAGAAACCTTTCAAACGTAAAGATATGCAAAAATTTTCATTTTTGATTTTTTTGCGATTACTATAACTTACCCTACGGGAAGTTAAAAAATTAAAAATTTTTCAATAAAGTCAATTTTTGTTTAAAAAATTTCAAGATTCTCAAAAATCAAATTTTTTCAAAGTTTCCAAAAAATATGAGATATTTTAAAATTTTTAATTTTCGGTACGGGAAGTACAAGGTGCAATGCCATGCACCCACTAGTTAATTACAGACTAATAAAAGGGATTGTAAAATACAGTAGAACCTCGATTATCCGGACCTCGGTTATACGGATTCGCGATTATCCGGACATAATCGCGTCGGAGTTCGTTTGCAATTTTACTAGTGTGTTCTGACGTGCATATATACAATATACATTAATAATACATTCTCTGTTTTGACGTGCATATATACATTTTTAAAGGGTGGTGTTATCCTTTAAAGATAAAATAAATATTATAGAATCGTTAAAAAAGGCGAAACCGGCCGTAAGTTAGCTGATAGGTATGGTGTAGGCAGGGCCGGTCCTGCCTTGCATGCGATGCATGCAAAAAATGCGGGCGCACGCCTTAGGGGGTGCCAAAACGAGTTTCGAAAATTAAATTTATATGATAATATTTATATTTTTTATATAAAATCTAGAATTATTTATATAAAATCAAGTATACATAATAAATTATAATAAACAATCTAACTTAATTAGGGATACGAAGACACAAAAAGCGTTTAATCACATTTATTTGCAATGCAATATCAGTAGAAACAATTAACCGATTAATAACTCTGCAAATTAGTAAATAACAGCTCTGTTCATTGCTTAATCTACTTATTCAATTTTTTCTTTTTTTGAATTTACCGTGGAATCGAAAAAAAAAATTATCTATTGTTCAATCCCATAGGCTCAAACCTGCGAAATATTAAATTAATTATTGGGCATTGTTGACGAAAAATTGCGAGCTAATTTAGTTAAAACGGAACTTGTTAAAAAATAGAAACAAATTATAATCGGGAAAATAAAAAATGGGGAGTCAGTGCTTAAAAAATGGCATGTTCATTCCGAGAAATTGAATTGTAACTTTTGCTTTTATTGCAAATGTTTCGCTTCTGATGAATTTTGAATGTTGAAGACATGCGTGGTTAGGGTTATGGAAATGGAGCAAATATGAAAAATGAAAGCAAAATGTACTTAGGAACAAAAATCTTTAAGCTTTTTTATACATAATTTAATTATTAACTATGCAGAAATAATACAGATACAAATATAATTTTTTTCAGTACAGTTAAGGGAATATGTAATTTCTTTGCATATTTTACTAATTCTGGACAATACTTTAAAAATACGTTAAAAGTTTAACTTTAAAACTACAATCTGATACTTTGCATCTGATGGAAAAGTAAAGCTGAATACAATTCGGCTCTTACGATACCAATACGGAGAAGTTTACGATGCAATTTTGGATATTGTGAATAATGAAAAAATAAATTAAAATAAAATTTGATTTAAAACATAAAATACGAATGTTATGTTTAAAAATTAAAGACTATTCTTATTTTGCTCTTTTGGCGTGATTTGCTCTATAGAATAAATCGCATAATAAATAAGTTAAATGTTTCAAAACCAAAATATTAATATTACACCTACGTTAGAAATAATTGAGAATTTAAAAATATTTGATTATGATCAACCCGCAAATCGCTTCGATTTTCTAAATAAATTTAAAATCAATGTATTTTATATGCTTTTAGATTACATCTAAAATTTTGTGTTTTATAAATCCAGAATGATTAAAAATTAATTTAAAAAAATAAAGTAAATGTTTATATAATTTTAATGAAAAACTGATAAAACAGTTGAAATTATTGGGGGGGGGGGCGCTAGAACAAATCTTGCATGCGGGGACCCCAGGACCGGCCCTGGGTGTAGGTACAGTACATCCACTATAAGCGATATTAAAAACAATGCCGATTCATTTTTGTCGTACACTTGCAAGTTAGATAGTGAAGAGGGGAGTGAAAATGGAAAAATGATGAAGAGACCGAAAAATGAACTCTTAGAAGAAGCTCTATATTGTTGTTTTTTACAAAAACGATCAAAAAATTATTCGTAAGCAACTTTTCTTCTTCATTGACACTTTACGTACCACCAGTGCTGGATTTACAGTAGGGGCAATCGGGGCTACTGCCCAGGGCGGCAAATTTTTGGGGGCGGCAAAATTTGGATAGTGAGAAAAAAATTTTATACAATATAATCAACTTTTTTTAACAACATTTTTTATTTCAAGAAATATAGTTAACAAAGCATAATACGATTGCAATGCAAAATTTGGGTTAAAATAACCGATTATTAAAATTTATTATTTTGCCTTGCCTCCCTCTCCGAACGTAAATTATCAAATTGGTTAATAAGTTAATAAGTCATTATCAAATTTGTCAATTTGGCTAATATAAAGGTCCGTAAACAAGCTGAAAGTTTAAGAAAAATATTTTTTTCAGTTCTGGAACCTTCTTAAAATGACGAATTTCTGCACTTCCAAGTTGAAAAATAATTTAAACTAGTGACGCATTGCATTGTGCCTTAAGACAAATTATTGAAACATCCCGTACTGAAAATTACATTTTATAAGCTTTAAAATCGAAATAAAATGAAAATGAAAAAAATGACTCTTAAAATACATTTTTTGTATTTTGACATTTTTTTTAAATTATGGACGTTTTGCACGCTGCGTAACTGTTTCAGAGAAGAAATATCAAATCTCAATTACCATTTTTCGTAATTCGTGCCAAAAACTAATCAGCACGTCTCCCCATCAATACAAATCTATTATTTTTTAATTATTCAAGTGAACACGGATCAACTGATTTAAATGGTTCAATTCCTATTGTTGAGAAGACGTGCTGATTAGTTATTGGCCAAGGCAGGTCCAACTGTTTTGAAGATACGGGCCAAAATGCCAAAAATGATAATTTAGTTGTTGAGAAAACAAGCTTCCAATATCATTCAAAAAATTATAGAATAAATAACTGCATAAATTTGTGGGAGGCAGGTTTAGCGGTTTCGATGATCCAATAAAAAAATTTGAAAAAGAAACGTTTGGTGGACAAAAGTGATCATAAGACATATGCACATCAAATTATCAGATATTTTAAAAATATTTTAATAATAAGTATAAATTTTGTTTACATTTATATGGGTTATGTAACATTGTTTATTCGTTAGACTGCGACGCGGCGCTTACGCGCTCCTATTATTGTCCCTACGCAGCTGAAGCAGCGTGATTGCTTTAAAAAAAGTTCGAAAGTTCGTAAAATTTTAGGGATGGGGCGGCATTTTTGTCAGTGCCCCGGGGCGCCAAATTTCTAAATCCGGCCCTGCGTACCACCTGAATATTTTACCTCATGCTTAACAATATGTATAATGTAATCTAATTGTAAGAAAATATGTACGTGTTCATTTTCTAATAAACATCGATTTTTGTTAATATCTATATATGTATTTGTTATTTTTGATAAACAAAACATTATTCTTCATAATTTGGATTATCCGGATTTTCGATTATCCGGATGCCCATCGACAGCAATTAGTCCGGATAATCGAGGTTCTACTGTATTGAATTTTAAATTATATGATAGCAAATTTCAGCTCCATCAATATCAAGGAGGAAATGCACGTTTGCAGCGCAACCCTGTTGGGTGCGATCAAAAGATGCGTGCCGCTCATATAGCGAAAGCGCACACCCCTGCCACAAGCGTCCGTCGTCCGTATATGCCGAGCTGTGTCGAGCCGAGCGACCACGAGCGACCTAACGAACGGCCGAAGAGCGAACGAAGTGGCGAACTAGCGAACGAGCGAACTGAGCGCTACGAGCTCCGACTTTCGACATTTCGTTGTTAGTTCGAAATATATGGCAAAGATAGTCATGGCTAGTGGGAATGAGAGACTTCTCGTCGAATACAGTTCAATAAAATGCAAGTGTCAAACTCTGCAATCATATTAATTGGTTGAATATTAATACATATTTTATTAAAATATGACACAAATGTCAAACTCAAACGCAATGGATACTAAACGATCAAACAAAATTGATAATAATATTAAAACAGGTTAGTTGTATTTATATTGAAAATTTATAAGATTTTTTTATCAGTTTCAATGATTTTGATTTTATTTTCAGAACTATATTTTTTAATAGCAAAATTTTTATCGGCCAGCCCGTTACAAGAAACATTTCAGGTGATAAAATGAAGCAAAAATTAAAATAATATTAGTTTTTATATGTTTAAATATATTTTAAATTGTAGGCCTTGCACAAGGAACTTAAAGAGAAGGATGTAAGTTTTGAAATTATATCTATTATATTTTAAAAGGTACCAATATTGAACAAAAATAAATGTTACAGATATTGTCTAGAAGATTAGATTGGCAAGGAAATGAACATGAATTAACATTAGAAGAATTGGTAGGTTATATTTTAGTATTTCATTAGTTATTTTCTCTTTTCTACAATTTACTTGATTTTTTTTATTTCATTATAAGTGCAAGTATTTGATGGGTTTTAATAGAACTTTTATCATACTCATATTTTACCAATTCGTGTCGCAGTGCAAATACATTTTGTGTACTAAAGTTAGTTGAAGTGATTCTATTTCAAATGTGTTGCTAAGATTTTAAAGTTCTTCTATACAAAGATCAATTGTGCGTGAAAAGTTTTGTTAATATAGTGGTAATCAAAATTTATAAAGTGCAGTTCTACAAAATGAGAATCAATAACATAACAACAAACTATAATAAGTGTCATGAGAATTTCAATTTTAATCAATCCTCACAAATTAATTTTTCAATTTTTGGTTTCTTATATAATTTTTTTTTGGAAAAATCAAATGTAATGTGTGTTTGAAACATTTGTCTTACTTTAGACTTGCTATCTTATCTTTTCAAATTAATTCAAGTTGTATTGGAAAATGCAAATACTATTCAAGTATAAAATAAGATAATGAAGAATATTATAAAAGACGAGACATTTTTTTATTATTATGTAAAAAATTATTACACCATAGCTCTATCACATTAATTATATTAATTTTGTTCATTTTCTTTGTTTCAGGAACAACGATATCCACACATTCGTTCAAATCATCTTTTTGAAATTTGCTGTAGGTTAGGTCCTATATTAGATCGAGATATACCTCCAAGTATCAAAGGGGTTAGTTCTCTGCTCGGAGCAGGACGACAAAGTTTATTAAGAACTGAAAATAACATTAATCGAGTGTATCGCTCTAGTGATTATATGTGTCCTAGAAATGGGCTACAATTTGGGCCTAGCTCTTCAAATACAATTCATAATATTGGTATGTATCTTTGCTAGAATTTAAACTTAGAACATATATGCCCATTTATATATTTTCATGTATTAATACAATTTTGATATTGTTTGAACGAGATATTTAGTTTGATATAATGATGTTGTATTATTATGTAAAACTATATTTATTGTTGCAATAGTCAACTTATTCCTTGTTGGGTATTTTATTTTATTTAAATTCACTCATGTTATATTTTTTCACTTATTACATACTAATTCATAAATGTAAATCATTATACATTAACAATACTAATTTATTCTGTTAATTGGAAGTAAACTATTTGACATTAATAATCTTTTTATGTTAATATTAAACTTGTTTCATAAAATACCTAATGTTTGCTGTCTTATATACTAAACTTACAAACTTAAATATATGTTTGAGTTAAAGCAACTCAAAATATATTTTTTTAAATCGAATTTTTAATATAAAAAATAGACTATAATATATAGACATAATATAAACTATTGATATTTTATTATTAGCAGTTCTTATTATTATTATTATTATTTTTTTTTGCAGTAAATATTATTCAAGGTAGACATATATCGGGATCATCAATAAAACCATTTACAGCCCATGGAAATTTATATAAAAAATTACAGCTTTTGAGAGAAACTCTCGGACATTTATCAGCTGTTTATTGTATGATGTTTGACAAAAGTGGAAAATATATTATTACTGTGAGTTCAAAAATTATAATACTAGTCCACCATTAGCATAGATAACTATATCCCATAAGTAGTAGGGCAAGAGATAATAGAAATTTCTCAAGCCAAATCTAATAATATAAGCTCAAAAATCACTCTTAATGTTTTGATAAAATTCTAATTAAACCAGATGTTATAGTTTGAAATATATACTAATTTTTTTAAATATGATTTCATGAAGAACTAAATATGTTGAGAGAAAAATTTCATATCATTTGAAATTTTAATTTATTCTAGCAAAAGTATGCTGAGTTTTTATCTATGCATATTATATATATATATATATATATATATATATATATATATATATATATATTAAATGTTAAATATGAACAATACAACACTCAGATTTTTAACACACACTTTATTTAATAATTACAGAGGTTTTGAGACCATGATATGCCTCATCTTCAGTGTAATTTTAAAAAAGTAAAAATATATACTAATACATTATTTAATTTTTACATTTTACATTATTTTATTTAAATTATATTTAATTTTTGAAAAACAATTAACACCCACTTTGCAATGATTGACACAGTACTAAACATGTGAATATATACAGAAATATTTGAAAACAAATCTTAAGTGTCGAAGATGAAGGGATATGTATGGATATTATTATAATGTAAACAAAAAGGAGTGCGCGATCACATACAAAGATGGGGCATACCATGGTCTCGAAACGTAATTATTAAAGTGTGTGTTAAAAATCTGAGTGTTCATATTTAACATTTAATATTTGTTGCACTCATATCACAAAATTCTAAAACTGCAATTACACCTAAAATTTATTTAAAGGGAGCTGATGATATGTTAATTAAACTTTGGAGTGCAACCGATGGCAGATTGTTATCTACATTCCGTGGAGCTTCTGGGGAAATTACTGATATTGATATAAATTTTGATAATACTCTTCTGGCTGCTGGTAGTTTAGATCATAGTATAAGAGTGTGGGAATTATCAACAACAGCTCCGGTAGCTGTTTTATTAGGCCATACTGGAATGATAACATCTGTAAGTCATATAATATAATGAATAATAAACTTAATATATTTGAAATTTAAATTTTATGAAATTTTATTATTATTTTTCCTGAGATATTGTCAAATTTATAATGAATTCTTCATGGTTATTTTTGGGATTGTTTAAAATGCTAATATGTTAAAAATTATTTGTATAAACTTTACACATGTCGTTTAGAGGATCAAGTATTTAAGTAGTTTCAAGTATATTACTCTAGCAGTTTCTTTCTATAATGTATTAATACTATATTAATGATAAATATTCATGTTACAGGTAAATTTTTGTCCTTCATATGTTGGTGATAATTGTTATTTAATAACAACTAGTACTGATGGTTCTATAGCCTTTTGGTCATATACATATGGGAAAAATTCTAAACCTATATTTGGGTAAGTTTACTTTTAGAAATAGTTAAAAACATGAATACTAATGCAGGCTGTATAATAATATACAGAGGATTTCATGTGATATAAGATATTGGATTACAGTTATAAAATGAAAATAATTTTAAGATATCGCAAATTGATTGTGCTTATTCATGGTTGTGCAAATTAAAAAGTCTTGTTAAATTTAATTGCTTTAGAGGCTTTTTTTATAATCATTCGAGAATATAAAAGTAAATGGACATAATGCACAAAAGCATTGTTTCCAGCTTATAATGTTTCGAAATACTATTAATATAGTGATCAAATATTAAGAATGACATTATATCTTACTGTTAAATTTCAAATCATGATAATATTTGTTTGCGTGTTAGCATGTAGTCAATTGAACACTACAAAATGGGTAATAGTGCTTGCAGTTTCCAATTCCACTCACAATAATAATAAACTTTTTTCATATTAGTTTTTCAAATATATGCATGCAATAGCAATATGTTTTCATACAATTTATAACATGTTTATTCTAGAATTAATATTTATTTTAATATTGACCTTTTTTTATTTAAGGGCCAATCCGTACCAATACTATGAACGGATGCGCCCTGGACATTGTCAGATGATTTGTGCATCATTTAGTCCTGGTGGTACATTTCTAGCTGCTGGTTCTGCTGATCATCATGTACGTATTTACATGATGCAAGAAGATGAAGGACCCAAAAGAATTCATGAAATTGGAATCCATACAGGTAGGCTAACCATACATATTTATGTTTTATTTGCCCAACTTATTAGATTTTGTAATCATACATAATTGCTTTTATATTGTAAGATTGATAGATTTTATAAAGTTTCCAAATAGGATACAATTATATTAAATTCATTTAACTTATATTTAACTTATTGCATAATTAAATAAATCACATTTACAAATTAAATTAATAATAAATAAAATAAATAAGATAAATTAAATATTTATTAGATGCAGTTGATTCTATTCAGTGGGCTAACAATGGATTAAAGTTCATATCAGGAAGTAAGGATGGCAGTGCATTGATATGGAATTTTGAATCTCAGCAATGGAAGTCCCGAAAGTTATTAATGAATGAAACACTACCTGGGTATAGTTACTAAAAACATCATTTTTAAGATAATTTGTTGATTTTCATATAATTTAAAATATCATTGTAAAGCACAATTTTTCAAAAGTACATAAAGAAAATGTAATGTAAATATGTCAATATGAGCTTAGTGAATACTTACCATATGGCTTACATATGTATGTAATCCCATCTGCAGATGGCTATATAGAATTACTCCACACAAAGAGTTGCTTATATCCTAACATTATTATTCTTACTTTTGAAAATGCAAATAGATAGAGGTTTTGCTGATTTACCTATATTTAGATTATGTATTCAAATTAAAGCTATTATAATAAGAAACACATTGATTTGTTATTCATAATTTAGCAATATTCATGCACCCAAAGCATAAAATGGATATTTGTCACAATCAATAATTGCTAATTGTTTGAATCGTCTGGATCACTATTTTTTAACATTAAAATATGTCATTTCTACTTGAGATCAAGTATAGAACATCTTAATTTTTTTTTATTATGGTGTTTTATTGTACATAAACAGTCTTGAATGCACGAAACATATCATCTCATAAACTTTGAATGTTGTATTTGAATATTAATTATAAATTTATTTCAGTCCAGAAAATACTCCTGATTTTGAAATAAAAAAATTGAGAGTTACTATGGTTTCATGGACATGCAATGACAATTGGGTTGTGACAGCAACAAATGATTTAACGGTAATTTTAAATATAGCTAGCATTTGTATCTGTCTGTATGTTTACACTACATGCGTTCACTAGATAAGATAAAAAACAACAATAAGATTCAGTCTGAAAATTGCTAATGCATTTATTCAAAATACTCTTATGCGAGGTTGTTACTACATTGTGCACAATTCAAAAGCATTTTGAAGAAGTGGTGAAGGTCATTAAAGGGAATTTACATCTGAATGCTGCCATTAGGTTTAAAGATGGCCAAATTGGTGGAAGTCATAATAGCATATATAAAGAGTGGGGTTGGATTTTTTTTTTTAATTGAATAATCAATATAAATCTTGTTTATTAAAACACATATGAACTGGCGACATTGCGTACTTTTACTTAAGATGTGCTAACTTAGGTTTTGTTGAACACTTTTAGTTGATAGTCAATATAATTGCATGAATGATTTGAGATTGAATATGTATACACCACTCCATGATATATATAAATATATATGTGTGTGTGTGTGCGTGTGGTGTTTGTATATACATAAACAATTTTTCTTTTAATTGGTTTAATTTTAATTGCAGGTAAAAGTATGGAATACAACAACAACAGCAAAACTAACGAAAATATTAAAGGCCATAAAGATGTGATATATGTGTTAGAATCTCATCCAAAAGATGAAAATATTATGTTAACTGCTGGTCATGATGGGCGATTATTTGTATGGGATATTTATACAGGCGTAAGTACAAGTGAATGAATGAATTAAATCAATTTTATATTCATTTTATTATTTTTTTTAGTCTTATATGGCTGAATTTCAAGATGCAATTGGTCAAGGGTTTGGATCTATTTTTGATGCCAAATGGTCTAAAGATGGTACAATGTTTGCTGCCACTGATTCCCATGGTCAAATTCTACTTTTTGGGTTTGGAACTGGTCATCCATTATTGAAAGTAGTAAGAATGATTCATTCTAATTTTAGCATTTGTTATAAGAGCAAAATTTTACTTTGAATGGCTGTTTCTTTTTATTCAGTTGCCGAAAGAACTATTTTTTCACACGGATTATAGACCATTAATAAGGGACACCAATAATTATGTGCTGGATGAGCAAACTCAAACAGCACCCCATTTGATGCCTCCTCCCTTTTTAGTGGATAGTGATGGAAATCCTCATCCGCCTGCACTACAAAGGTTAGTGCCAGGCAGAGAACACTGTCCTAGTGAACAGCTCATTCCAAACATAGCTGTAGGAGATGGAGGTATGTGAGGTTCTGCAATAATCTTTATTTAGTAATAACACATAATTTTTATTTTTTTACTTTGTGGTACCAAAGTAAGGTAACTCTTTTGTCTTTGCCACTACCATTAATAAATCTTGCTCAAAATAATTAACTTTAAATCATTTTGAAAATTACAGTGTATTCTATTAGTTGGAATTTTACCACATTAGTTGGAATTTTACCAAGTTTTTGATGAACCCATAAATTAATTTAATTAATTAATTAAGCAAACTAATTAATTTAGAATATTATTACTAATATTTGAAAGATAAGCATTCATATTGTATATTGTGGCATATCAATATTATTCTTTGGAATATTATCATTATTTTGTAATACAATTATTAAATAATTTATAGTACACAATTATTTAAAAAAATATTACTAAAAAGCTTTCAAAGTTTTTTTAAAATATTTTTTTTATTACAGGTGTTCTACAAGTAATTGAGGGTATTCCTAACAATGTAGTATCGCGTTTTGGCATTGACTCATTGATTAGAGCTAGAGCAAGAAGATTAGGTGTACCAGAACCGAATAATCAAAATCAAGAGAATGATGATTCTGGTGGAAGCAATTCAGATGATAATGCTGCTGTATGATACATAATTATGTTGCTCTTTCCTTCATAAAATCGTATTCAATATGATTTAATTTGTTTTATATATAAATCAAAAAGTTGTAATATTAGTATGTAGTGAACATATGTTTACTACAATGATGCTATTCTCTAAATAATTAGGATTATCATGTATTTTATAATTTATCAACACTATTGTTTGTTCTGCATGCATTTAACATTGTGAATTCTTCATGATTTCACAATAAATTTGTTTTTTTTTTTGTGCAAGTTAGATATGTATAATTTCCAATCTATATAATATAATCAAAGTTGTTGCAGGTAGGACAGCGTCAGGCAACTAGTTCGCCGAGGGCGGCGCACGCATTCAACGGAGGCCAGCGCTCGGTCGCGCGTCGGCCAGGTGCAGATGTTCAGAGAGTTCGCAACAGTGTCGGTAACTGGCAACGCGACGGCTCTTATGTATTTGAAAGGCACAATGTTATGCGCCCTATTAAACCCAGTCTACTTCGAGCAATTACTGATAAAGTGTAAGAAATTTATTTTTATTACATTTTCAAATAGTTTTTTTTTTCTTATAATAACTTTACATAAATGTTATTATTCATAAATCAACAACATTTATTTTATTATTTGCGTGGTTGTTTTTTTTTTAAACTTTAAGGTGATTTTTACGATTACGCCAGAATGCCCAATTTGCTAATTTTATCTCTTATCACATTATCTCAATTTTTCATGTTTGTATGATTCGGTTTGTTATTCTGAATCGATTAATTTTTTTTTTATTATTAATAACGATCAGAACATTAATTATATTTTGAGTTATATTTTATTACTTCCCAAAGGAGAAGTTTGTTTTCATAAAAAATCCGATTCGCTAATTTTACGTTTTCTCGACGTTTAGAGCCATTCTGAATCGAATGAGACCAAATTTGGAAAAAGTATGTGTGTGTGTGTGTGTGTATGTCAATAGATTTTTTGCCGTAAATCGACGTTTTCTCGAAAACGGCTGGACCGATTTCAAAAATTCAAAAGCCATTCGATGTATCTCGATGGGACTATCGTTTGTCAGTTTTGCACGACGATCGGCCTGGCCGTTTCTTTGTAAATAGCAGAAAAGTGAAAAAGTTTTCGTCCACGTTTTAGCCAGCAATTCTCAATCGATTTTGAAAATTCAAAAACTGTTCGAAAGATATTGGTTGGGAATCTTGCTGATTACTTTTTGGTAAAGATCGGCCGGGCCTTTTTCTTGTAATAAGTGTTAACATTTTTTTTTCGACGATTTTTATGATTTTTTTTTTTGACGGTAGATATCATAGTCTTATAGATTATAATAAAATATTACGTCCCTACTACAAGTCGTTTAATTTTAATTCAATCGTCAGTTTTGTTGACGATCTACAGAGCCATTTCTTTGTATTATGGAAAACGTGTTAAACTTTTCGTCCACATTTAAGCTCACTACCGAATCGATTTTAATAAATCAAAAACTGTTCGAAAGATATTAGTTGGGAATGATGCTGATTAGTTTTAAGTGAAAATCTACTGAACCGTTTTCTTGTAATTAACTGTAGAAAAAAAAATTTAAGACGATTTTTATGGAACTTTTTTAGCGATATATATCATGGTCTTATAGAAGTTACTGAAATATTACGGCCTTACGACAAGTAATTTAATTTTAAAAATTTATCAAAGTTTGAGAAAATGAGTAGTTTTTTTGACGTTAGCTAAAATTAAATTAGTATATTTACTTGGTACAACAATAGAGTACTTGGTCTTAATGAACATACTAAACCATTAAAGTCTATGCAAACTGGTTCAAATGTAAAAATTGTTGATTTTTAAAAATTTGCTTTTAGAAAATACTCCAAGTTAACATGTTCGTTCTATTTCAATTAATTCACTCGGAATACTTTTAATCACTCATAAATTAATTTATTTTTTATTGATTAAGTCGATTATTTACAAATATCGTGAAGTTCATGTAACTTGCCTCAAGTCAAAATACCAATACCAACTGGTTTACATTAATTAAATATAATTATAGGTTGTAGTTACCCCCGACCGTAATTACTATTAGATTTAATTTATTGGATCAAGTTAATAGGCCATAATTTTTTCAAGTCTTCCTAATTGTGGAGTAAGGGGCAGCGGAGCAATGAGTGATTTGGGGTGATTTTCTAATTTTTGATGATGATTAGTGAATTTTGTTTTTATAAAGTCTTTATATAGCACATTCAGATCATCATGCAGAGTTTTACTGCTTGCGTACTAGGGTGCACCTATCATCATTCTAAGTAGTCTTGATTTGGTCTCTGCTGTACCAGTGCTACATTAGATTTGCTAGAGCAGTCCTAAGGCTCTATTCCGTATAACCAGATAGGAATTATCATTTCATAAACCAGGATTTAGTATTTGAGTGTTAATTTAAAATTATGTCCGATAATCCAATGAAGTTCCGTAATTCTAGATTTGATAGTTTTGATTTTTGTTGTAGTGTGGTGTTTCCATGTTAGTCCGTGATCTAGATGTACACCCTGGTATTTAACATAGTCAGCACTTAGTATTATCTGGTAAAAAAAATGCACTCCTGGGCATCATTCTGAATCGAATGAGACCAAATTGTGTCATCTTTGATCAAAAAGTGTGTGTCTGTGTATTTGTATATAAGCCAATTTTTGACCTTTTGTCGACGTTTTCTCGAAAAAGGCTGGACGGATTACGAAAATTATAAAATCCATTCAATGCAACTCATAAGGACTAGCATTAATTAGTTTTGCGCGACAGTCGGCCGAGTTGTGTCTTTATGATTACCAGAAGTGTAAAATTTTTCGTCAACAAATCTGAATGGATTTTAAAAATTAAAAAACTGTTCGAAAAATATTGGTTGGGAATCATGCTGATTAGTTTTTGGTAAAAATCTGCCCGGCCAATTTTTCGTAATTATGTATTGAAAACTTTTCTTACGATTTTGTATGACGATAGATATTGTAGTCTGAAATAACATACTAAAATGATACCAATGATGGCATACAATAGGCGGTTGAAGCTGAAGAGGCATATCGGTTTCGTTGTATCTACATACTGATTAAAGTTGACGTTAACACTTAAATAAAAAAAAATCATTTTCAGAAAACGAAATAGATGAAATGAAACCGCCTCCGCTCTTTTCTTATATCTTGTTTTTTTTTTTGGACCCCGCCTTTAGGGGTTAATGTTTATGTGTATGTGAGCCAAAAATTGATCTTTTGTCGACGTTTTTTTCAAAACCTCGACATGCTGCGCTGGTTAAACTCGATTTTTTGAGCACGGTTTCGCCAAAAATTTTGAACCTATTTTGAAAATGTAAAATCTGTCAAAAAGATATCAATAAGGAGTCGTGATTAGTTTTTAGTAAAGATTGGCCGGGCCGTTTGTAATTAATTAATCGTAAAATTTTTTTGACGGTCTATATATATACATAATATACTAATATTATAGGCATATCAAATGTGGCAACTCTTATTAGAACTCTTTTTAGAACATGAAATAGAATCAAGTCTATTACATAAATTAAATTTAATTAATACAATTACAAGTATTATAATTTTGTTTGAAAGATATCAATGGAAATCGCATTGGTTAGTTCTTAGCGAGACGTGAAAATTTTATTTTTGAAATAAACAGTTGAAAATTTTAAATGTTGCTAAATTCGGATCTTATTCAACTAGCCAATTATATTCATTTAAGCTTGTGGAAGTTGTGTAGATAAAACATTTATTCGTTTAAATATTGTATTTGGTTAAATAAAACCAACAAATAATTGTAAATACGAAAAAGGATAAATTTGATTCGACTAGTATTTACTATTAATTACTAATTAAAGTAATATACAATTAGTTTGCTAGGTACTTTATTATTATTTTTATTTATATATTATTATTATTGTAATTTTTTAAATAAATAATAATCAGTAAATTTATAAATTTACACAATATCAGGTCAGCAGCTAGAGACAATGAGTTAGCATTATATGCA